TTTCTTTTTTTTTTTTTTATTAATTTATTTTTATACTCTAAATTTCTATTCGAATCAACAGTTACTAAAAACTTCTTATCCCTTAATTAATTTTCTTACTTCACTATATTAATATATACTCAGTTATTGTCTTTATCGTGTTAACGGAACACAATGTATGTAATTTTATTTATGCATGACTTCCTTATCCAATAACTAAATGAAATATATAAATTCAGCAAATTTATTTTAAGCCTCTCCTCTCTTTTTGTTCATTTATTATTAAATTGTTACTGAATTTTATATACTTTATCAATTTTTTACATCTTGCGGGGCAAGTATCATGTTCGTAATTAGATTCAAAACGATAGAAAGTTTAGACATCATTAAGTGGACAAAATTGCTTGTGCCTTAAACATGATTATATTCTCATTAAGATTCATACATTAAAAATAATTTAGGTGTTACGGAATCTAAGAGAAATTATGTAGACACAAAATTATTGATTATGATACAATCATTAATGAATTCTAAATTATCAACAAAATGGTATTGATAATTCTTACCGATAGACATAGAGATCAATTTTCTAGCAAAGGCAATAACATTTTATCAAAAAACCTATCGTTTATGAGTAACACATTTTTTTTTTCATCTAACTTGTTAGTTGGCTAACCATATTAGTGATGGTCTTTTTTCACCGGTAAAATCATCATTAGTTATGAACAAAATTAATTAGTAGGTAAATTTCATTGGTAAGTTGTAGATTATCGATAAATTTTTTAGTGTTAATTCTGTCGCTAATAATTGATAATTTGTTGGACAAATTTTTTGATAAATTATTTCAGAAAAAAATTTACCAATAAAAGGTGTCAATTGATATACTTATCATTAAATAAATGTTTGAACATTTTAAAATATTAACAACAAAATTTATTACGGGTATTTTGTTTTCTAATTTTATTACTAGATTTAAGAATTACACTTTTTAATAAATTAATTATTAATTTTCTAATTAAAATTAAATATATATATATATATATAAATAGCTTAAGTGATTGATAACTTTTTGGATAATTTATACACTTCAAATAAGAGTTATAATTAAATCGATTAATAATCTATCTAAAAGTTAATATAAATGTCTCCTTATACATCAATATCGTAACTCAAATCGTCATCAAGCATATTAACCACTACATCAATTGTAAGAGAGGTCGTGACTCAAATCATTATTAAGCTTATTAACCTCCATGTTAGTTATAAGAGGAGTCAAAACTGGTGCAAAATGAGATGTAGAAAGTAAAACAAGTGGACATAGGTACGTCAACTAAAATAATATGTCTTATTAAACCTTTTACATCATGATTTTTTAAATAGTCTTTTGAAGTTCGACCTCATGAAGCTCTTTAGCACTCAAAATTATCAGAGGGGCCAAAAGTAAGTTTTTAGTGGTAGGTTCCAATTTAAAAAATTTTCATTTTATTACCACTTCATTAGATGGATTATCATGTAATCATATTAAACTTATGATAGGCTTTAATCTTTGAATAAGACATATTCATATCAAACTAATTTTTTATCATGCTTTCCTAGACATGCTTTAAACCAAAACAAGTTTGAGAGAAAATCCCTTGAACAAGAGAATGTCTTCCTTTAACATTTCTTCCTCCTAGCTCATCAATTAAGGAAAAACTTCAGGGAGAAAATTTTTTCTTTTTTAACTGAAACTTTCACTAAAATAAATCATTATTTTATTTTATTTTCTTGAGAAAATATCTAAAATAAAATTTTTTGAACTTTACACGCTAGCTTACTTTGAAAAATTCTTTTCTAAAACTTTCTAATGAATTATACATAATACTAACTATGCTAGTAAATAAGAATCTATGGTCTTTTTATAAGCATTAAGAAAAGAGTTTGGATTATAGTAGAAGTTAGTAATAGACTACTGTATCAATTAGTTTTGGAAGTCCATAAAAATCGATTTACGCACTCATGACTATTTATAAGTTGTAACTAAAAGTGTTTTTCCCTTAAGACTATATACTAGTCTAATAAGTATAATACTTCATTTATCTACTTTTGCACTAATTATTTAAAATAAATATTGTGATTTGAAATTTGATATAAATCATAATTAACTATCTATATAAGTGAGCAAAATAATTGAAACATTCTCTCTATATCCAGGCCCCTTTAACAATATCAAATTACTAAAATATCTTTACTCATTTGAGGCCTTCCCTTAACAATTTTAATTTAGTTCAAACTATATTATTTTGGTCCAATAATTAAAACTCTTTAGTTATTTGAGCTTAAATAGGATCCATTTAGACACTTTAAGTACGACTAATTAATAAGCTCATGAAAATAAATAACCCTTAATTATTTCATCCTAAATTCAGTGTAATTTGATTAAATATTTTAACTAGTTAATTTAGATCCTTAGTTGACATAGCTCTTTAGTAAAACTCTTCAATCATGTTGATCATAACATCAATTAATCTTATTAATTGGATTTTAAGATTACCTAGATAATATAACATGCACTCAATTACTCAAAAGTAGATAATTGAAGTATTATACTTATTAGACTAGTATTTAGTCTTAAGGGAAAAACGCTTTTAGTTACGACTTATAAATACAAGGAAAATTGTTAATCAAATAATAATATAAAGAATTTCTAAATACTTTAGCCATCTGATCACACACCAAGGGACCAAAAAAATCAGTATTAATTGAAATAGATTTTTTTAAACTAGAAATACAACAAAAGATAAGACAATTATCAGTTTCAATTTGATTTTTTAATTAGTAAATTAATCTATCCACTTTGATGTGAATCGGTTTACTTAGAAAAGTACCTGTTTGGTTGAAATTAAAACAATTTGTTCTTTTATCCGAATATCTTCCTTTAATTAATTATCGGTGTATTATTTATTGCTCGTTCTTATTTTCTCCCTTAAATGAGTAACAACAAAGTCTCCTCTTATGATTTCTCCTTTTTCTTTGATGGAGAATATGCATCTTGAAAGAAAAATGTTACAAATTAAGATAAACTTTTTATATATATTTTTGTATCAACTCATATTAACGAGGGTACATATAACAAAAAGTCTGACACGAATACTCATCCTTATAAGAATAGATAAATATACTAACTATTAAGGTAATGGATTATTGATATATCATCATTGCCTACTTATCTAAAACATAACTAAAAAAAGAAAAAAAATAAATAGAAAATAAGAAAAGGTAAAGATGGTTTTATGGTGCGAGCAACCACTAGAGAAAATAAAGAAAGAGAACTAAGCTCTTGGGAGGAGATTTTTGTAGTGTGAATTTTTAGAATGATATGTTCGACAACTTACTCATTTATTTCTTGTCAAATATGCTGAAAATAAAACTCGAATATAAATTGTTAATTTTGTAACGAATGATATAACATTCGATGTAAATACTCTTGATAATCATATATTCAACTTGTGTGGATAAAAATTGCAATCTTTTTACAATATTATATGTAAATGATATTATTAAGGATGAAACTTTTTCTTACCTTTCTTGCTACATGTACATATATATATATATATATATATTTTTTTTTTCTTGTTTAGTGTTTTATAAAGAAAAGTGGAGCTAGGACGAGCCAAGAGAGAAAGGAAGAAGAAATAGAAAAAAACTAATTTAAAAAAACGATTACAGTTAAAATTAATAAAAATTATTAACCGTACTTTGTACAATTTATGAAAATGCAAAGTTTAATTTAATATAATTTAATTTAGAAAAAAATAGACCACGGTGCTTCGGTTTGTTTCATACCCGATGAGCCCAACCAAAGTCCGGGGGTTTGACAAGAATGGAGTCGGCCCACTGAGCCCAACAGAATAAGACGTTTGCTTTGGCGGGAAACACCTCCATTTTCCCGCCAGAAATGGAAGCTCCGAAGTGGTAAGAGAGTCTGCGTAGTTGCTGCAACGCCTCTTTTCTGCAATCAAAACAAAGATAAGAAGGATAGAAACCATAGTTTTGGTTAAAGGTGGAGAAAATGGAAGCATTTGGAGGATTCTTCATGGATGAGAAGGCAGTTCGAGTAGAGAACATTTTCCTCGAGTTCCTAAAGAGGTTTCTCCTCTTTGTCCCCGTTCCTTTTTTCTTGTCAAACAATGAATTAGTCTCGTAACTCGGTCCGATTCGTTAAATCATTATCTAATTGTTTCTTCCCTTTAATTATATAAAATGATTCAGTTTTAGGTTAGATCCAAACATGCCTGAATCGTACTACGAGGCGGAGATAGAAGCAATGAGAGCCAATGAATCATCGACCATGTTCATCGATTTTTCTCACGCAATGCTCTTCAATGATATTCTCCAGAAGGCCATCGCCGATGAGTACCTAAGGTTCCTTTTTCTAATTTTTAACTTTCATTTTTCTAAAACCCTAAATCTCTGTTTTTTTTTTTTGACCTCTATTGTTCGTGGATTTGGTTGGTTTCGATTTTTCTAATTTTCTTGTAAATGTCAAGGTTTGAGCCGTATTTGAAAAACGCCTGCAAAAGATTCGTCATGGAACTGAAACCCACCTTTATCGCGGATGATAACCCCAACAAGGATATTAACGTCGCCTTCTACAACATCCCTTTCTCCAAGCGGTAATTTTCAGGAAATTTTCCTACAAATTTAAGATCTAACTTTACATCGTGATTGATGCTGAAATGGTGGCCTGACTTTTTTTGTATGTTTGTGAATTGTGCTAATTTTGACGTTGTTTAGCAGGGCATATGGCACCTTCTTTTTTGCTCGCTTGATTTCATAATTAGTGTCAGTGAGCTCAATAATCTTTTTCTTCTGAGAGCATTACTTATGAGCTGCTCCGGATGTTGCTATTTGCACTTTGATTGAACTTTAGGAAACTCATGTTACATTATTGTTTGCTCATTACTTTCCCTGTATGGTTCTATTGAACTGATTTCAGTGGCTGAAAAATTATCATTTCTCACTGATTCCATGTATTCCTTAGGTTGAGGGAATTAACTACAGCAGAAATTGGGAAACTAGTATCAGTTACAGGGGTCGTCACACGCACAAGTGAGGTCCGACCAGAACTTCTCCAAGGAACTTTCAAGTGTTTAGAATGTGGCAGTGTTATAAAGAATGTTGAACAGCAATTCAAATACACAGAGGTCAAACAAGCATATTTGTTTATTTATTTATGTAGGTTTTATTTAGACGTGCTGCAATATTAGGATGTATAATTTTTACTCTTTTATTGATAGTTATTTCTGTTGTGATCACTGTGATACAGCCTACAATATGTGTGAGTGCCACATGTTTTAACAGAACAAGATGGGCATTACTTCGACAAGAGAGTAAATTTGCAGACTGGCAAAGGGTGAGAATGCAGGAGACTTCTAAAGAGATACCAGCAGGCTCCTTACCAAGGTCACTAGATGTTATACTCCGTCATGAGATTGTTGAACAGGCCAGAGCTGGAGATACGTAATATTTCTTAACATTCCTTCATTGAGTAATCTAGATATTTTTATGTTTTTCCCCTCTATTGCATGAACTTATATCCTTATAACAGTTTGAATGTGATTGCAGGGTCATTTTCACTGGTACTGTTGTCGTGATACCAGACATATTGGCACTGGCCTCCCCAGGGGAGAGAGCAGAATGTCGTCGAGAAGCTCCTCAGTGGAAGAATTCAGCTGTTGGACAAGAGGGTGTACGAGGCCTTCGAGCATTAGGAGTGAGGGATCTTTCATATCGCCTAGCCTTTATAGCCAACTCAGTGCAGGTTAATGAGCAAGTGACTGTTACCATTAACTAAATCAGAACTTATGATGGATATTTGATGGATTGGCTAAATTTATAGTTTCTTTGATAGGTTTCTGATGGTAGGAGGGATACTGACATAAGGAATAGAAAGAAGGATGCTGAAGAAGATGATCAGCAGTTCACGGTTAGTAATGGTGCACTGTTGTCTGCTACTTTTGGAAATGATCCTTCACTCGATTTAACAAGTTAGATCACGATCAATAAATATTGCACATCATTTCATGTCCTAAATTTTTTTATATGTTTCCACGCACAATAGGATCTTTCTTCCCTTTGAGATGTTTCAGGCAAAAATTTGGGCTAAAAACTGTAGAGACTAAAACTAATTAACAATTTAGAAAATGCAAATGAATTTGTTAGATCTTATGTTGTTGATCTTATGCTATGATACATGACTATGTTCATCAACTGTCATGGTCATTCATAATTAGCTTGATGGTTGTTAAATCTCTCCATTTTTTGTGAATGGATTTACTTTAACTTATTGATGAATCTTTTCCTCATCATCCTCTTACATATGAACTTAGTTCCCATCAAGCACCTAACAATCAAACTGGTAAATTTGGTAAGCTGAAACTTGTATATTTTGGCAAGCAGCAGAAGACAAATCCAATAACTGGGATGCATTATAGATGGTTCATCAGTACATATTCACCCACATTAAGAAAATAGAATAAAATCTCCTCCAAGAATTATTTATTTGTAGTTAGGTCTTTTTCATTGGCTGTATTTTTATTTCATTTTAGCATGCCTCATAGTTATATCCCTTTTGGATGGAATTTTTTTTGTCAGTGATCCAAATCAACATTTGCTCTTAGGTCTAATTTGGCTTCAGATACGCAGTTTTAACTGTATCTGCTTTTATTAACTGTCTAATAAGATAGCTGGGGAGCATTCTACAGATGCCAAAAGTTATTAACTGTTCTAAATTGGCAGGCAGAAGAACTAGATGAAATTCAGCAAATGAGGAACACACCTGATTTCTTTAATAAGGTTGTTGATAGCATTTGTCCAACTGTTTTTGGTCACCAAGACATCAAGCGTGCAATCCTGCTTATGCTCTTGGGTGGTGTCCATAAGTTTACTCATGAAGGCATCAACCTGAGAGGGGACATTAATGTTTGTATAGTTGGAGATCCCAGCTGTGCGAAGTCTCAATTCCTCAAGTATGTTATTCTCACTCAAACTTGTCTTTGTATTTTTTCCTATACGTTTAGCTGGCGGGACTCACCAGTGCTGGCATTTATTTCTGTAGGTATACATCTGGTATAGTTCCCAGATCTGTCTACACTTCTGGTAAATCCTCCTCTGCTGCAGGGTTAACTGCAACTGTGTCCAAAGAACCAGAAACTGGAGAGTTCTGTATCGAGGTAAGCTTCGATATATTCTGTCCATGCATTCATTGAAAAGATTTCTTGACTTTGGTGTAAGACACCAATTCACTAGCTTACAGGGCCAACAATGCTGCATGCTGATTGACAGTTGGCATTGATAGTCTTTCATCCATGGTAGGAATTCTTATAGAAAGCCGAATAATTTATTCCCTATACAACCATTGTTAAATTTACTTTCATTAATCTTCCTGCCAAAGATAATGTGAATAGCTTAAAACATTCACAGTAAATCATCAGATCCAGGATGGATTTGAATATTTAATTACTGCAGCTTGAGGTAAATTCTCAACTGAGAATCAGAAATATACCTCGAGCTTCAAGCTGAAAGAGAATAAAGAGAAAGATATCTAGAGTTAAAAAAATTGAAACCATGTTCAAATGCATAAAGAACTGTGGTTTATAAGAAAAGTTGGTGATAAATCATTCTGTGACAAACAAGAATTGGGGAAGTAGATACAATAAGTCAAACGCCCGAGAAAGAGGTCTATGCTATCAAAAGGAAATGACAAGCTGTTTTGTTTGGATACTTTGCCCAAAATACTTCTATGTACTTTTAGACATCTTAGTTGCTGTGTATTAAGTGGATGACCGTACACAAATAGAGACATCATCGGAATTTCAAGGTTCAGAAATGTAATTTATTTAGGTTAGCATCTATGAGTCAGAGGTTAAGATGAACAAAAATGTAGAAGCTAAAAGAAGGCAAAGAATTTCCTGCATCTTTCGCTGGTCTAACTTTGGAATGTAAGTGTGTGCTTATAGTCATCTGATAATGAAGTTTGATTTATATCCAGGCTGGTGCTTTAATGCTTGCCGATAATGGTATCTGTTGTATTGATGAATTTGACAAGATGGACGTCAAAGATCAGGTGATTTTCATCGTAGGTTCACATGAATCGTCATGTTACAAAATTTATCTGTTGATAATTGATGTACATGGTTGTGAAGGTTGCAATTCATGAAGCCATGGAGCAACAGACGATAAGCATCACAAAAGCAGGAATACAAGCAACTCTGAATGCTCGAACATCAATTCTGGCAGCAGCAAACCCAACTGGGGGACGCTATGACAAGTCTAAGCCCCTCAAGGTTAGATTTCTTCTTTTTACCAGATACTATATAAACATTGCACGTGCACTCCATATTTTCTCTAGTGCTACACTCTGAGAATTTCTTTTGTGGACTAATGTCTCTGATGTATTTTCTCCAGTATAATGTTGCCCTGCCTCCTGCCATTCTTTCGAGGTTTGATCTAGTATATGTAATGATTGATGACCCAGATGATCAAACTGACTACCACATAGCTCACCACATTGTAAGAGTTCATCAGAAGCGTGAAGAGGCACTAGCTCCTGCTTTTAGTACTGCGCAACTTAAACGTTACATTGCATATGCAAAAACTTTGAAACCAAAGGTCCCAGGCTCATTTTCTCTAAAACCAGAATATGGTGTAACCTTGAAATACATTTTTTGTTATATGGTATTTTCCTCCTTTTAATGTAGATATCTTAATGTAGTTAAACTCAGAGGCAAGGAAACTATTGGTTGACTCTTATGTAGCTCTCCGAAGAGGTGATACAACTCCGGGAACTAGGGTTGCTTATCGCATGACAGTTAGGCAGCTAGAGGCGTTGATTAGGCTGTCTGAGGCCATTGCTAGGAGCTATCTGGAAGCTCAGGTGCTTTTTTGTGTTGGCAATCTGACAGTGCACATCAATTTTATGCATATCTTACATTGGAAAGGTAACTTTCTACAGGTACAGCCACGTCATGTTCGATTATCAGCGAAGCTGTTGAAGACATCTATAATCAGGCAAGATTAGAGTTCTCTCTTTCTCTCTCTCTCTGTTTTTCCATGTGAAAATAGGGCTTAATGTTGAGTATGCTTTCTGTTTCCCCATGCAGTGTTGAGTCCAGTGAGATTGATCTCTCTGAGTTTCAAGAAGATAACCGTGACAATACTGAAGGTGCTGATGAAGGAAATGGGAATGCGGCTGAGTCTGTTCCTAGGAATGCAGGTGCAACTATAAATCCTGTTTGACTCCACTTATCATTTTTTTTTTGGAAATTTCTTAATATGGGAACAAATTGAACTGTGATTTGTGCAGAAGGTGGAGCAGCTTCTAAGCTTGTTATAAGTGAAGAATATTTTCAGAGGGTCACTCAAGCCCTTGTCATGCGCCTTAGACAGCATGAAGAAACTGTAAAAGATGATGGTAAACTATATGAACTCTTTGCCTTTCTTGCTTATGATTGAAGTGATAACTGAAAGAAATAAATGGATGAATCTTGTGTACTAATTACATATTCACAACTGTAATAGGCTTCAATGGGTTTCCAAAAAAGAATTTTATGTGTTATAGATCAATCAACAGAGATCATAGAACCCTAGATGCGTAATGCACAGGCCATGGATGTCAGTAAACCACAAAGCATAATCCAACTAGATACTGATCACAAGCATTTGCTGGAGTCTCATCTTTATTGTGTTTGCTTGATTTGTGTTTTTTTTTTTTTTTTTTTCTTTTCTGACATTTGCAGGGACTGGCCTTGTTGGATTGAGGCAGAAGGAACTAATTCAATGGTACGTGGATCAGCAGAATGAGAAACAGAAGTACAGTTCCCAGGAGGAAGTAAAACTTGAAATTAAGAAACTCAGAGCTATTATAGAGGTGAGATCACGTGCATCTTAAGTTCTAACAGCAGACTGGAATGCCATAATTTTGACTGGATGGTGGTAGCAACTATTTGACTAAATGTAATGCAGAGTCTGGTGCGGAGGGAAGGGCATCTGATAGTGGTAGATGATGGAAGGGAAGCAGCAGCAGAAGGCAGAAGAGATGAAAGGATTTTAGCTGTCGCTCCCAATTTTGTGGTAGATTGACATTGACCTGGAAATGCACAAATTATAAGGAAACTGGCATTTTTCATCTGTGGTTCACGGGTGAATTTAGTTAGTGGGCAATGTTTATACATTTGCTAACACCAACTGGGTGACTGGGGAGGTTTGCAATCCGCACAGCTGCAAAGCAAAATGTCGAAGCAGACCAGTATCAAGTGGCGCTAGCCATACTAATTATCAACTTATTTAGTGATTAACAGAATACCCAAAGATGCAAAACTTGTAGATTAGGTGCCCTTCATGTTTTCTTTTTCAGAGATGTATAATATAAAAATTTGGTGCGTGAGTTATGAGGCAAATTTTTTTATTTTTCATGGTCTCTGTAATGTTACTCTTGAGGCTGAATTAAATGTATCTTGGATGGGGTAAACCCTACCTTAGCTGTTGGATTCATTTCGAAACTGGCAAGACTAGGAATGATCAATCGTTTATTGGATTTATTAAGTTGGATTCACATGAAATTAATTTGTTAAAAGAAACCTGACAACACTCACATGTATCATTGTCATTTTGCTTCCCCTCTCTCTCCCTTGGGGAAAAAGATCTCATTTTTCAACTAAAAGGCGGTAGTAATAAAACAGACAGACACCAGACTAATTATTTACAAGACACCAAAATTCCCATATGCCAATAGAAAATATATGCAACCGTAAATTGTCTTTATCTAATTAAAATTCATTCATGTGGTATTTCCCTTAAAATTGTTTTTGCTGAAAAAGTAGACATTTTTCTTTAGTCATTACTCTGAACCACAATTAGGCAACAACATGGAGAAATGGAGGGAAAATATTGTAAGAGAATAGAAGACTGGATAGATTGAGAGAAATAGAGATGAAGGTGAAAACTTTAAAGGAGAGATGCGAAGGGTATTAGATAAACATGAAGATCATAATAATAAAAATAATAAATAAAAAAAAATGTGACATAAATTTATTGTAGAATTATCAAGCTTGTGTAAACTGTTGATTAGAAACTTTTATATAGGTTTTAACTTTGATAATAATTATACTACTTTTAATTTTGAGATTTTTTTTTTTTTTTTTTTTTTAAAAAAAAGAAACAAAGAGAAGAAAAATAATCATTTTCATAAGTGGCTTTGTGAAATTGAATTCAAAATATTTTGGAAAAGCCCTAGTCATTGTAAGATGGCAATTGAATTCATAAGTGGCACCTTTCTGTCTTACTCTTATTGTTTTGCTTTCTTCTTTTGCTATTTTTCTTACTTGTAAACCATTCAATACACAATCCAGACACCGAGCTCACAAACCGAATTGCTACAAATAGTTTCAACACAGAAAAATTTTTAACATTCTATTTACCTCACCTCTCTGGCATGTCATTTGGATTAGCAATTTATTTTCTGAGTTGGAGAGGGTTGAAAATATTGAAGGGCGGCAGGGTTTAGAGAGGAAGGATATGGAGAAAAGAGATGGCATTCGGCTTGAGTTGGTTAAAAGACTAATTATAGAAGAAATTGAGTTGAAAGAAGACTCTAGATCGCGATGGATGAGGAAATGGGACATAAGTAGGAAATTCTTTCACAATTTCGCAAGTCATCATAGAGAAGTGAATTATAGAGAGGAGTTGGAGGTAAAAGGGAGGACGGCTTGTATTCAGAAGACTTCTTAAGGAGGTCCACTATAGAGGAGCTAAATTTTAACTATTTGAGAAATCAATAAAGATTTTTATTTGCGTAGGAATTCTCAGAGGAGGAGATTTATGAAGATATTAGAAACTGTTGCAGGGATAAAACACCAAGTCCCAGTTTTGATATGAGTTTTTTCCAACATAATTGAGGGACTATTAAAAATGATTAATAACATTTTTTAAAGATTTCACAGTGCAAGTTCCTTTATGAAGATCTTCAATTCAACTTTCCTAATCTTAATCCCATTAGTGGAAGGTGTTTAGATATTAAAGATTTCAGCTACTCGATTTGGTGAGTGGTTCTCACAAGATAATAACTATAGTCCTCGCTAGGAGGATGGTTATAGCGGTTAGTAAGGTGTTATAGGACTGGTAACATGCCTTTACATGGGAGAAATGTAGATCTTAGATGCGATTTTATCAGCGAACGAGTTGGTTGATAATATTTAAAAAAAGAGAGAGAAAGAGGTATCTTATGTAAGTTGTATATGGAGAAAGCTATTGCTCATATGAATTTGAATTTTCTATTTTACATACTAA